ACCATTCCACTTTTGTGTATGTTTGCAACAAAATACTAAATTTTTAATAATATGGGCTGAATTTATAAAGTGTTTTCCATTTTTCTTCCCAGAAATAATTCCAAATGTCCACTCCAGGCTCTGCTGTCCCATCTTGGTCCTAGCCTCTCCCTGGACCTGCAATTGGGCCTTAAAATTCCACACCCTGGACAGCGGGTTCCCGGACTCGCTGTGGGGCAGCAGGGCAGGAGAAAGCCTCCCGGGATCGGGTGCTGCAGGGAGCGTGGGGATCATCTATGGAAAGGCCTTTTGTTTCCACGCCATCCCTCCTGGATGCCTCTCCCAAATCAATCACGAGGGCAGGGACTCTGTGAGCTCAAGGGCTTAAGCCTGAATAAAGATTAACTTTTATTAAGTCAAATATAATTAAAGTAAGCACCATTTAATTACTTTTTTACCCCTGGTACATTTCGTCCAGAGTTAAAAAAACTGACTTTCAGAAAACAAGTTGATAGCATAAATCAAGAAACATAAATGTTTTATCCTTTAATCTAGCAATTCTACTTTAGGAAACTACACTGAAGAAGAAATCATCAGAGAACGGACAAAGATTAGTATGTGACGCTGTAACTGTAGCAGTAATTTTTTGTTTTTACTATTTTCCTCCTCTGACTATAAAAGCAGTATGTTTTCATTGTAAAATGCTAAGAAAAGCATAAAGAACCCCACAATTCTACCACCCAGAAGTAACTACTATTAACATTTTGGTAATCTTTCAAACTTTGATGTATATATAAAAATAAATGTTAAAGAAAAATGGGGCGGGGTGTGGTGGCTGATGCCTATAATTTCAGCACTTTGGGAGGCTGAGGTGGGAGGATCACTTGAGCCCAGGAGTTCGAGGCTGTAGTGAGCTATGACTGTGACACTGCGCTCCAGCCTGGGCGACAGAGAGAGACCCTGTCTCAAAAAGAAAAAAAAGAAAGAAAGAAAAATGGGATTATATAACAAACACTGTTTTATAAATTGCTTATTAGTAATATATTGTAAATATTTTTTATTATTTTTTTAAATTTGATTTTATTTTTTAGAGATAGGGTTTTACTATGTTGTCCAAGCTGGCTTCGAACTCCTGGGCTCCAGCGATCCTCCTGCTTCAGCCTCTCGAGTAGCTGGAACTACAGGTGTGTGCCACAGTGCCCGGCTTATAAATATTTTTTCATGTCAATAGACACAGATTTATAACACCATTTTTAATGGCTTCATAATACTCTGTGACTGAATATACCAATAAATGTACAATATATTTGTAAGAGCAAAAATGGAAACGATACAAATGTTCAGTGGTTGAATAAATTAGGAGGTACATCCAGCCTATAAAATATTACATAGCCATTAAATATTCTATCTACAAAAAAATTTAAAAAGACATGGGGAAATGCCTATAACGTAATGTTACGCCAAAATAACCAGATAAAATACACAGTGTGACATCAACCGTGTGAAGGAAAACGGCGTAGAAAGAAGGACTGCGAGGCGACGTGCTGAATTAGTCACAGGGGTTGCCTCTGGGGAGGGCTACGGGTGACTTTTTCTGGTTCTTTACGCTCTAAATTCTCTACGATGGGCGCGTATTACACTGATAATGGGGTGGGAGAAGTAAAAGCTTAAATAAGAGAGGAGAGGAAGCAGTGACACACACAAATGGCATGTCAGTGACAAGCTCCGCAGGAGCAGAGCAAGGCCCTGACTCTGGGGCTCTGTGGCACCTCCCGGCCCTGCAGCCCGGCCTTCAGGATGGCCAGAGATGGGGCGAAGGATGCCTTCGACTCTGCACGCTGGAGAGATTCCCCCAGGCTGCTGCAGCCTTCCCCTGCATTCTGTTTCTCTTACCCTGACTACTAGCCTGATACTGTGGCCCCGTCCTCTCCGAGCCTTGGTTTTCTCATCTATGAAATAGCAATAGGAAGACTCACACGAAAGGGTGATGAGCCGATTCAAACCCCCTCACGCCAGGCCTGGCGCACTGTAGGCCTTGAGCAATGAGTGGTTTCTCTCTCCTCTTTCTCGCCCACTGTCCCACTCGTTGACTTGGCCCCACACAGCAAGTCCGCTGTGAGTGGAATCATGTCTGTTTCCCAAGATTCCTTGAATTGATGGGCTAATTTAGAAGAAATGTTAACCCCTGTGAAGACACCTCATTGGGTCATAAGCCAGACCCATCCCTAACTGAGTCACCCAAAAGACTGCCCCACCTTGGTACCCAGAGTGGAAAAGGGCGTGTGAGGCCACGGCTTACCTTCCTGGGGCTCGAGCTCCCCCAGCACAACGTACAGGGAGCCCTCCTGGGCTTGGAACGGCTCCACCAACTTGGTACAGAGCAGAAGCTCGTGCTGATCGGATCCATGCTGGGCCGTCAGCTTCGCTCTGGACTGGGCCACATCGTAGAGGCACAACCTGGAGGGCGGAGGAAGTGTGATAATGTCTATCCACAGATAGACCCACCACGAAGCTCAAAAGGTTTGGGGAGGCCAATAAATCCATGAAAAAATTTTCAGCCTCAATCTGATTAGAGAAATAAAAACAGCAACAACAAATTAGAGAAAAATTTTCAGTGTACATTGTAGGCTAAAAGGAAATTGCCTTTTAATTATCTTCCCCTTGCCTTTAATTTTCTTAATGGTACCTTTTGATAAGCAGAGTTTTTAATTTTGTTGATGTTCAATTTTTTTTCTTTTATGGTTTTTGCTTACTGTGTCTTATCTACGAAATCTTTGCCTATCTCAAAGATGTGAAGATATTCTGTTTACCTCTAGACATTTTATAGTTTTAGCTTGTACATCTGTAACACAGTGCCAATTATTATTTTTTTGTATGTTGTGAGGTAGGGATCAAGGTGTTTTTGCCCTTCATAAGAATATCCAGTAGTTCCAGCACCATTTGTTGAAATGACTATCCTTTCTCCACCAAATTACACTGATGTCTTTCTTGAAAATCCATAGAGAAATGGACAAATAAATTATGGAATATCTACACGGTGAAATAAAATGGGCCTATAAAAAGTGATTATGTCCATCTAAATATTTGACATGGAACTAGGCCTACCGCATACAGTTAAGTAAACAAATGGTACAATATAGTAGTAATAATACAGCAGGCTCTCATCTAGGTTAAAATATTTCCTTATGTATGTGCACTGTCTCCCACATGGTCTCCCATGATTCCCATCTCCTTGCATTCACATCCTTGTGTCCTCTACCACGCTGGACAGGGCTGACCTGCGTAACAAGCAGGGTACTGCAGAAATGACAGAGAGTGACTTCTGAAGCTAGGTCATACAACACACTGTGACTTCTGCCCTGCTTTTCTCTTGGCTCGCTCATTCTGGGAGAGACTGCGGTGTTCCCGAGGACCCGCAAGCAGCCCTGTGGAGAAATCCACACTGTCAGGACCTGAGCCTTCTTGCCAAGAGCCAGCGCTAATTAGCCAAATGTGTGAACGAGCCGCCCTGGAAGTGGATCCTCCAGGGCCAGGCAAGCCTTCACCTACTGCAGCCCCTGCAACAGCTTGACGACAATGCCAGGAGAGACCCTGAGCTAGGACCACCCAGCTAAGTCACCCCCAAATTCCTGACCCAGAGTAACTATGAGATAACAAACATTTGCTGTCATTTTCAGTTCGAGGGTAATTGGGTACGTAGCAATACATGAGTAACACAGTAGGTATGTATATACGTATATTGGTGTATACACCCCCCCACATACATGCACATATACATAGAAAAGCATATAAAGGTGACTGGCAAAGGGATTTGTCTGGGCAATGGGATCACAGGTGATTTTTGCTTTCTTTCTTTAAACTTTTATGGATTGTCTATATTTTTTTCAATGAATACATAATTTTTAAACATTTTCCAATAATTAGTCAAAGTTATAAAACAATGTTAAGTGTTTTTGCGTGGGGGGAAGATATCTGAACATCCCTCCGCCATGTGGAAAACCAGCCGTTCTCACCTGCCGAATGTTCTCAGTGTGCCCCCGTCTGGAACTTGGCCAGCACTGACCTCCCAAGGAAGGTAATAGATCCCAGGTTTTGGCAGCGTCATTGGCTCCTGTAACCAAATAATTGAGATGGATTTTTGAAGATTCCTGATAAACCAAGCAGACCACAAAATAGAGATTAACAGACACATGAGACCAGGAACATGCTGAAGACTAGTTCCAGTGGGTAGTGTTTTAAAATTTTATTTTATTTTTATAAGTTAGGCATTCACGTACTTTAAAAAACAAAACAATATAAAAAAGCTATGTGAAAGGCCAGGCGCGGTGGCTCACGCCTGTAATCCTAGCACTCTGGGAGGCTGAGGCGGGCAGATTGTTTGAGCTCAGGGGTTCGAAACCATCCTGAGCAAGAATGAGACCCCGTCTCTACTAAAAATAGAAAGAAATTAATCGGACAACTAAAAATACATAGAAAAAATTAGCCGGGCATGGTGGCACATGCCTGTAGTCCCAGCTACTCGGGAGGCTGAGGCAGGAGGATCGCTTGAGCCCAGGAGTGTGAGGTTGCTGTGAGCTAGGCTGATGCCACGGCACTCTAGCCCGGGCAACACAGTGAGACTGTCTCCAAAAAAAAAAAAAAAAAAAGAGGAGTGATAGGAACAAGATAAACAGTAATTAAATAATCCTCAGATCCCTGCAAAAACCCGATGACACAGCATTAGTCTAGAAGTTTAATAAAACCTAGAATCTTGCACAATTGGTTTTATTATCCTCCAACAAAGACATCAGCGAGCAGTGTTGCAGGTCAGTGTGCGATGGGCTTCTGAAGGCAGCAGGCGAAGGACAGGGCTGGTCTGCACAGCTCAGGAGCAAGTGGCCCAGGCTCAGCTGTCTGCCAGCCCCCTAAAGCCAGAGGTCTGCCTGGCTGTGGCCGGGGAGCAGAGCTGTTTCTGTCAGAAATGAGACAGCCCCTAGTCATCTCTGGCATGACAGAGAAACAAAACAAAAACAAACCAAAAAATAACCAAGAAAAAAAAAATATAATGGTTCCTTTTTGGGACCACAGGGAACAATTCCATCCAGTCTAGCACAAAGCTGAAGCTTTGAAGTCTTTTGAAAATCAATTTTGCCACTCTTGAGTACCACACACATTATAAGCTAAGCTGTCAGTATGTGCGTCACTAAATTCATGTTTAGTTTTTAAATTATACAGTAGGATGAACTCTTTTGGGGGGCATACATTTTGTAAATTTAAACTTCATTAATTTTTTTAAAGTTCCAATTCCACGTTAGCCAACACTGCAGAATGAGTGAATGTTTAACATGAAAACTCGAGTCATACCACATGCTTTGAACTATGGCCTCAAAAGGTTACATCATGTAGGAATTATTACAAATCTCAAATGTAATCTCAATGAAATGAATCTTGCCAAATACAAGGGTTATTTTACTGTGCCTTAAAAAGTTTTGTAATCGCCTGAGTAAAAATCATCAGAGGATGCTAAAAGTACTGGGTAAAAGTGTGATGAGAACAGGGTATTTACATGGTCTCCATGTATCTCCTCACAGATACTTATGAATTACAAAGGAAATGGTCCCCTTTACTACTTCACAGTGGAGAAACCTAGCAAATATAACCTTGTGATTTTGTAAAATATGTACGTGGTCTTCCACCCTGTTTCCTGGCAAGCAACTCCGAAAATTCTTGAAATCTTCAAAGTGGTAAGTATCTTTTGATGTTGGTCTCAAACTCCTGACCTCAAGCCATCTTCCCCCCTCGGCCTCCCAGAGTGCTGGGATTACACTTGACTGATTGCTGGCAGCCCCTAGGTAGCCTCAGGATGGGGCTGGTCGCCAGAAAGACCAAGGCAGGATAAGATGCTTGGGACTTTCATCCTTCCCCCAACCTCCAAGGAGGGCAGAGGAGCTGGAGGTCAAGTGGATCATCAATGGCCAAAGATTTAATTAATCCTGCCTACATAATGAAGCTTCCATAAAAACCCACCAGGACAGGGTCTGAAGAGCTTCGGGACAGCTGAACCCTCGGAGGGTCCTGGGGGGTGGTACAACCAGAGAGAGCATGGAAGCTCTGTGCCGGCTCTGTGCCGCTTCCCACATAACCTTGCCCTATGCATCGCTTCATCTGTGTTTTTTTTAATATCCTTTATAATACTGGGACTCAGAAAACAATACCCCAAAGTGAAGGCCTCAGAAGCAAAAAGGTTTTGTCTGCCCTCCTACCCTTCTGTCTCTCAGTCCCATTCTTCCCTGAGGAAGAATCCCTCTTCCCCAAGGCAAATCATACAAACTAGAACCCCTTTTCTCCAAAGCCAGCCATAAAACCTAAAAATAGTACTCTAACTTTCCCTCTACCTTTCTATGTAAAAACTGGCCATAAAGAAATTATCTGACCTACCTTGTTTGACTGTAGGGCATACGACCCCCATTCCAGAGAGGGTCCTATCCCACACCCAGAAAGAAGTAACACATGCTCAGAGAGGCCAAGAAGAATCTGGAAGGACAGGCCTTGCTGGGTTTCCCCTCCCTGTCCATTAGCATTAGATCGTACCCTTTGTTCCAAGGCAATGCAGAGGAAGGGAAAAGAAAGAGAAAAAAGATCATAGCCTATTTGTCCAAAAATATTTCCACACAACTGTCCACACTTCATTGAACCTAAGCATAAAAACAAACAAGTTCCCCTGTATCTTTGGGTCTTCTTCGTTCTATTTTTTTTTTTCTTTAGAGAATAAGTCTCACTCTGTCAGCCAGGCTGGAGTGCAGTGGTATAATCCAGAACTTACTATAACCTTGAACTCCTGGGCTCAAATGATCTCGCCTTAGCCACCCAACTAGCTGGGACTACAGGCACATGTCACCATGGCTAACTAATTTTTTCTTTTATTTTTGTAGAGATGGGGTCTTGCTATGTTGTCCAAGTTGGTTTCAAATTCCTACACTTAAGCAATCCTCTCGTCTTTGCCTCCCAAAGCGCTGGGATTACAGGCATGAGCCACCTTGCTGGCCTGGATCTTCATTCTGAAGCCTCCCGTGTCATGTAAAACTATGATCAAATAAATCTGTGTGCCTTTTCTCCAATCAATCTGCCTCCTGTCAGTGATTTTCAGCAAAGCAGAGGGCAAAGAGGAAGTTTTCCCTTGGCCCCTACAATAATAAACTGGCATATGTGTTTCCCTAGTTCTGTGAGCCTTTCTGCAAGAAAATTCTTTGTTCTATTCTTGCAGTTCTTAGGGCCAGGCCTGGTGGCTCACACCTGTAATCCCAGCACTTTGGGAGGTTAAGGCGAGAGGATCACTTGAGGCCAGGAGTTTGAGACCAGACTGGGCAACACAGAGAGACACTGTCTCTACAAAAAAATTAAAAAACTAGCCGGGCGTGGTGGCACATGTCCAGGTAGATGGTGTCAGAAATGAATTGAATTAAAGGACACCCAGCTGGTGTCTGCTACAGAAGTGATTGCTTACTTGCTGGTGGGGACAAATCCCCAAACATCTGGTGTCAGAGAGAAACTGAGTTTGTTTTTTGTTTTTTTGAGACAGAGTCTCACTGTGTTGCCTGGGCTAGAGTGCCGTGGCGTCAGCCTAGCTCACAGCAACCTCAAACTCCTGGGCTCAAAGCGATCCTTCTGCCTCAGCCTCCCGAGTAGCTGGGACTACTGGCATGAGCCACCATGCCTAGTTAATTTTTTCTATATATTTTTAGTTGTCCGATTAATTTCTTTCTATTTTTAGTAGAGACGGGGGTCTCACTCTTGCTCAGGCTGGTTTCGAACTCCTGAGCTCAAACAATCCGCCTGCCTCGGCCTCCCGGAGTGCTAGGATTACAGGCGTGAGCCACTGCGCCCGGCCTGTTTATTGACCAAATATACATTTTACAAGACCACAAAACTTCCCAGACCTCCTGATATGATGCACTTAGAAGGGCACATCACTTCTGTCGTGTTCCTGCCAAAAATTCGCCATCTGAATGTAATCATGAAAAAATATCAGACAAATCTGAATTAGGAGACATTCTACAAAATAACTGGCTTATATACTTTAAAAGTAGTAAAGTCACAGAACGCAAAGAAAATTCTTTGTTCTATTCTTACAATTCTTATGTAAATTTGAAATTATTTCAAAATAAAAAGAAAACTTGCCAAATTTACCTCTTCGTCTAAGCCTATTCTATTTGATGCTGAGTATACCTACTGTCATTATTACATTAAGATCAATTGACTTTCCAGAATATTACAACTGGAAGAGTCTGTTGTCAATTAGCCATTTGTTCATTCAACAAAGATTGGCTGAGCACCTTCTGCCAGGCAGGCGCTGAGCCAGGTACAGAGAATAAGCAAGACCCCTCCCTGCTCTTCAGGGGTCCCAGACCAGCACCTTAACAGGGAAGAAGAGGCTCCTGTGGCCCAAGGTGTCACGGTTAGACACAGCCAAGTACCAGGATGTATGTTCTCGTAGAGCTCACATACCATGTGCCTTTTGGAAAGTGTGTTTTCTTTCGCCTGTTAAAGGTCCTCATTTGATTTATCAATGGAAGGCAGAGTACATTGTGGGAATGATTTATCGATGGAGGCCAGAGTACATTCGGGAGGTCACAAACTTCCCCAGAGCGGCCTTTGGAGCACCTGGTGTTCTCTGTAAATGCCACTATCATTTCTGATGACAGTGTCTCTTTTCAATCAGTCTTTTTTTTTTCTTTTTTAAGCAGAAGGAGAACCTGTGCTATACATACATTTCCAATGACATTCTCAACTTTCAAAGCACTAACTTCATTAAAGGCAGTGCAAACAGGGAAGCACAAAACTTATGTTCTAGTCTCAGCTCTGCCACTTAAGTAGCTGTGACGTGACCTTACCTCTAGACTGAATATTTGCTTGTCTTTCTTCCTCATCAAGGTGCCACTAAAAGAAATGTAACACCAAAGACAAAAGAAAGGGGCAGCAGGAGTGGGTCATTACAGTAGGGAACGGGTGGGAAGGTGCGGCGGAACCTCGGAGGGGCTGGGACGTGGAGTCCACGGATCTGATGGAGGGCAAGGGTGACACGCGGCACACAAGCAGGGAGATTAGCTGACACAGAGATCAGCAGGCAGCCAA